GGCTAAAAGAATAAATTAATAAATACTGACTACATTATTTAATTGCAACATGCAAATTGTCAGATGAAAGGAAGCATTCTACTTTCCTAAATTCCTAACCACAAAATATACTTAAATTATACAATTATAGTTGCAACTCAGGACTAGTTAGGCACATCTGGACCTGGTTTTACTTTAACTGCCATTATTTAGACCACCCATACTCATGTTAGTTAATGTGACACAACAGTAAGAAAATCAATGCAGATGTGTGTATATGCTGGTAAATCATGCTTATGAGCACCATATAAATTACTGGCAGTTTCTAAATCACACTTAAAATCTCGATAGGTTTAACTACACGAACACTACAGGAGACAAATCTGAAATTGCTCAAATGAAAATTACACACACTGTGGAGAAGGGTGTAATCAAAACATAATATAAGCCTAAAGACTCAAAGGCTATATTTAATATTAAATGTTTGATATAATGAGAAAACTTAAATATAGGCTAACTAATTAGTGGTACTAGATTACAGTTCATAGATTAAGTCGCTAGTACATCTAGATCTAACATTAATGTTAGACCTGTTATTTCCATCTTTTTAGTCTTAGTCTGTCTTTACCTGGAAAAGAAGTAAATCAGCTAATGATAAAATGAAAAGTCACAATGATTTAATGCTCATAAAACTGGATTCCATTGAGGTTACATAATATGGCTGTACAATTTCTGCATCAAGAAAGGACGAACTCCAAAGTTGTTGAGAAGGTCTATATGTTGTACTAAAAAGAGTCAGTGTTGTGAGTTACATACTTCAGAAGGATTGGTGATACCATTTACCCAGGGAGAACTCTCCCAGTGACAGAACAACAATGGACAAAAAGCTATTCCCTCTTTACCCCATAACCTTCAGAAACGAAACCCACTAAAAAGACTTGGTGAATGGACAGTTAAGTGTACTGTTTTACTTGTGTATGAGGGTTGTTCAAGGAAATTCATAGTTCATGAAGGGGCAGTGTTGTAAGTTGTACTTTCAATGTCTTGATTTAGATGTTTACTAGAAAGAGCATATGATCGCAATAATGTAATAATCTGGTAGTTTCATGGGTTATGTAAAAATAAGGATATATTGTGGATGCGAGAATTGGTGAAGTAATGAGCAGTTAATGAGTAATGAGTTACTGAGTATTCAATGAGTGATTCAGTTGAGTGTTAGTAGTGAGAGTTATAGCATCTATTGATAAGAAGATTCTGTAAGCAAGTTTATTTGTGAGTAAGACATACCATTAGTCTAGGATTATCTGCTCAAAGATTTGTGAACGTAGTCCTACAACTTGTGTCAAAGTGATGAAATACATTAATTCGTTATCCTTACTTGTATTGGACTTGGCATTATTTTACCAAATAATCCGAAATAACCCACCCAATGAGAGAATACGTTACAGTGACATTGATATAATTAGATAATTTATATACAAACACGAAAGCAATGATCCTGAAGAATAAGTAAGAAACATAGGTATTATTATAACTAGGTTATATATAAATGTGGCATTCTCAGTAAAAATTATTTCCCCCCAGAGTGGCATGATGGGTCTGCAGATAAACAGTAGATTCAACCAGGAAATATAGTACAAAGTAATTCTGAATTCTTTGAGCCTGGCTGAATTTCTTACAGACAGAGATTGGACATAATATATAAATACAATGAAAACAATTTTTTATTCACAATCATAAGTAGCAGAGGGTGTACTTATTTTGCACAACGGACACTCACCTTTACTGGAAAGCTAACAGCCATCTAGTCTCTCTAAATTTGAAACTCTAATCAAAATATGTTCCAGAATGAGAAAATTTAAAGTAATATACATAAGACAGGAACGTCATACTTTCCCATAGCGACTTACGTCGCCATTTGACTGTTGATAATTGCAACTGATCATAAGGAAGGTTGTAGCCTCTTGATATCGTCCAACCTGCCAGTGGAAAAAGGTTGCTGTCTACCTTCATGTATGTACAATTTTGCAAAAACCTTTCCCATGGGAAGATAATAAAGGTAATACCTAAGGTAAATGACATAGAACAATAGACAGTTAGATCAAAAGGACCTTAACAACTTTCTTGACCAACATGCTATGAGAAAATTGTACATGTATTTGAATAAATTAATTTTTTTTAATATTTCTGTATTAAAACGAGGAGGAAGCTAACACATGGTATGTTTGCACACTACATAAACATCCAAGCAAAGAACCTGAATAACAAGCAAGAAATACAGATATTATTATAGTTGAATTATATTTAAACATACAAGCAAAGAACATGAAGAATAAGTTTGTTGGTTTGTTTTATAGCAAAGCCACATTGGGCTATCTGCTGTGTTTGTTTTGTTTTTGTTTGTTTTTTGAATTTCGCACAAAGCTACACGAGGGCTATCTGCGCTAGCCGTCCCTA